TTTTTTTTTTTTTAAAAGTAATAGCCTAATAATTATAAAAAAATAATCGTTTTATTTCGATTACGTTGTTTTCGTAATCGTTGCAAGCCATAATCGTAATCGCGATTAAAATACGATTAAAATACGATTAAAATACGATTGATTGAGCAGCCCTACTTTCATATCAGCCTTATCCCTCTGGGGTTAGTACTACCTGGGGTCCTCTTGTGAGTTTCAATAACAGCAGAGCCTGTCTGTGCTGTAATTTGGCTATACACAGAGGCCTCCTAATTATATTAGCAGGGCGCGCATCAGCCGTGCATTAATTTGGGCCTTTTCCCCCCAATGAGTCCTTGATATTCTGTTTCTCCTCTTTCTAAATTATAGAAGCTGCAGTGAAAGCATTAATGAGGAATCTGATAGCATTTTGCGTTGAAGTTGGGGTGGCTAATCTAGCAACTCAGCATGGGAACCCATTATGTTTTAATGATATCTGCAGAAAACTCCTAAGATTTGGTCAATAAATTTGAGTGAATCACACAAATGTAATCTATCCTATGCAAATGTGCCACACAAGACACAGGGGGGGGTACATTCCTAAATCACATCAGGGCCCCGGGTAAGGCAGTGCAGTCCAGGCATCAGCTACAGAAACTGTCACTTTCATCCTTTGTTTTCTCACGACTGTCACTTCATGACTGATGTGGCTCTTTGTGGATTCTTCATACAGCACTCTGTCTAGACTTTGGGAAATTTGATGCATTTGAGTTTACAACCTGTCTGCAAGTAGCGTACTCTTACACCAAAACTAAAAAAGCACCTTAACAGGGGATGTATTGTTCTAAAGCCCAACGAGTTAATACCACCAATGGCCACAGATGTATAAGGCAGTGCTGCAGGGCAAAGCATCCAATTCCCTTTTCAAAAAGTATATGCACAATGATGGCCTTGCAATTCAATGTCATTCACTGATCCTGATCTACAAATAAAGCCAATATAAAACAACGGCAATTATGAAAAATTGTCTAATGATGTTCTGTATTTTGTGTTAGTGTGGGTGTGTGTGTAGCTGTGGGGCAGACATAAGGGAATGGGGGATTTAGTTGGATTGAAGACACCAAGTTGACTCCTTGAGTCCGTCCACTCATCAACGTTTCTCCTTTTCCCCTCTTTCTCTTATCCTCTCCCATAAACTAGCCAAGCTAAAAGTCTGTCCTGGGGGGTAAATACTGTAGACTGCTCCATCTTTCTTACCTTTTTCTTTATGTGTTTCTTTATTTTTCCTATTTTACTGTCTTCCAAATAGTAAAGACATTTGATAAATGTGCTATAGCTAGTAACTTATATGTGCTTGTGTTTTGATTAAAGACAGTCTGTGGATTAATTAAGGCCCGTCCACACGGCGGCGTGCGTTGAAGCTTCAACGCTTCTGCCCATTCACTTTGAATGGGGTGACGTCAAGCTTTGATGAACTGCATTGTTGGAGCGTTGCTTCGCTTTGCTCGCGTTGCTCGTGTTGCTCGCTTCAAAAGTTGAGAAATGTTCAACTTTTGAAGCTTCGGCGGAAGCGTCAGCCAATCAAATCATATGCCAGTACAAGCTCTAGCCAATCAAACCACGTGGTTGTGTGTCCGGGGCGGGAGATTCATGTGATTGGTTGTTGGTCGAGTTTCAGACACGCCCGCCGGTAAGCTTCAACGCACGCCGCCGTGTGGACGCTGCGTTAGGGTCAATAACCTCAGAGCAGATTTGTGGATTTAAGAATAAAAATCTACTGTAGGCTTCAGGCAAGAAAGTGTGTGTTCAACAACACAAAGTCCTTTCACTGACTGTCTACATTGCGGTTATTAAATCATCCTGACCCTGGATGGTAACAAGTGAGTAAATTCTTCTCCCTGTGGAAATCTCGGCTGCTTTATAAACTACATTAACTATTTAGGCTTGCAAGCAACTAGTCATTATTTTCAATATTAATGAATGTACAGTAAATATGTGTTTTAGTACAGTACCATAGGGGACGTAACGTATTCTTTCCTTGATCATGCACATGGTAAACAACACAAATCTGTGCTGGAATCCAAGGGAGTAGAGCTAGCTTACATTAGCCGTTAGCAGCTGGTATCGCCATCCTTTTGAATTACATTAGATTCAAGATGTCAAAAGCTACAGTGTAGTGGTTGGCAATTAGAATCCTAAGTCCCAGGCTTCTTCAACAATATAACATACAGTATACTTAAGACACAAAAGAAATAAAGAAATAAAACAAAGCTATAAAAGTAAATGATATATGTGTGAAATCAAACTATGTCTAGCCTTTCTGATGACTCTCTTAAAATATCTATACAATATAGTCAAATGAGTGCCACTACAGAGACAGAAACACTAGTAGGGTGTCATCGCTTGCTAAAGAATACATTGATAAAGCAGATGCTTGTTGCTGCAGGGCTTGAGTCCAGATCTTCCAATTGAGAGGCGGTCTCTCCTTAATCACTGCACCACCCTGCTCCTCCTGTTTTTACTACCAGGAGAATGTGCCATCAGAAATAATTAGAAAACATTGAAGGTTAGAGGGATGCACTAAGAAAACTCTGGAGGCGGCGTCTTTAAACCAAGAGGATGACAAAGCCAATTTCAAGATCTGAACCCAGTGGCGTGTAGCTCCATTCCTCACAGACACGCAGAACTAACACAATGTGCTTGCATTTGCTTAACTGGCTCTCCCTCTCTCTCACAAGTCAGACAAGGGCCGTGTGCACTCCCCAAAAACCAGCAGCAACAAGGCAATCTGCTCTTCAACAGCTGGAGTTGCTCCCAAGAGAGAGAGGGAGAGAAAGAGAGGGAAGTCTCAGGGAGAATAGAGGTAGAGAAAGTGTGAACATGAGGAACAGAGAGAGGATGGAAACAGAGTATTAGAGAGTTCAATACATAATCAATGCTTAGTCAACACAGAAAATGAGAGTGTGTGAAAGAACCAAGGTTTCCTCTCAATGCCAAATCCAAAAGGGAAAATTGCCAGACTCACACACGTCATGAGTAAACAGAGCTGGGTCAAAATGAAAAAGAAAGATATGGGGACGGACAAAAAGATAGCCGGAGCAAAAGAGACAGACAAAAATACAGAGAAGATGATAGAAGGAGATACAGAATTACATTTGGAAGACAGTTAGAAAGAAGCAGAAAGCAGAAGGAGTGCAGCAGGAAATTCCTTCAACATTTTCGCGACCTTTTGTCCTTCTCAAAAAACCGGACAATAATCATTTTCCTATTTGGCTTTCTTTAGCCTCTCCTCCTTCGTTTTTCCTTCTTTCTTATATATTTTTTTTTGCATGGCTGTGTCCATGTGTGCATGCTGTGCATATCACAGTCACATCATGACTAGATTTCAAATCCTCTGGCAGTTAGTCAGTGTTTTCTTCAGGGTTGTGTTAGTACACGCATGCGATAAGGACAAACCTCATGTCTTCCAGCAGGTCACATTCAGTCTGGTGTTTAAAGTGCAGTCTTGTCATCTGCTCTGCGTGTGTGTTCTTCAGCTCCTGTGTCACTTTGACCTGGAGAAAACAAAAAGACACGTCAAGAAGAGGGGTTTGGCATTTGTTCATCCGTCTGCCGTGCACGTGGGTTAGCTATTTCAAGGCTCATATTCACCAAACTCATCCCTACAAGAAATCTTTCCATATTGATAATATCAACAATGAGGTATAAAACTAGATATCATCTGAGACTTTGGTTTATTTTGAGTAGAAATGGTTGAGTGAACTGTGAATGCCTCTAGCTGCCTGAAAGTCATATAAACATTCCTTATTTATAAGGTTTGTTTTTCAAAATAATTGTCATTATTGATGATCTTTTCTTATGAATTGTCTTTAAAAATAGAAACCTTGAACTATCAAATCAAAGATATTCAATCTATAATGAGATGCAACAGATACATGCAGTAAATGCAAACATTTAGCTAGAGACAGAATTGTTCTCGTCATCTGACGTTATAAACCGAATGATTATTAAAACAGTGGATTCTTTTGTTGTTGGTCCACTAATCAAATTGTTGGATTTCTATAGACAGTATTAAATCAAAACATCATAATTCTGCGGTATTTTATTTTTGATTTGTCCATACTTGTCCCAAAAAAGCTGATAGAGATAGAGAAAGTCAGAGAAAGGTATTTTTAGCTCTGAGGTGCAGACTGTGCAAATGTGGCTTATGTTCTTCTGAATGACTTTGGGCTTTCTTGCTTAGTATACCGATAGACTATTAGTTACTAAGAATTAGGCTACTGAATCACAGAAACCCACTTACACATACAAGGAGAGATAATTGAACTCCCATCAATCAATCTATCTGACAATCACCTGTCGTCTAGCTTGAGTGTGCTCAGCTTGAGAGTCAAGTGAAAGGAACGCGCACACATTCCCATCAGTAATTCATTCAGCATAACAATCAGTGTCTGGGTCATGTCAGACTTCTGGAGAGGCTGGAGGAGGTTTTTTGAAGTTAGAGGTGACTGAAGACACATTTAAAAGCCTATAACAGCATTTCAGCGCAGACAGACTCCATGTGCATTTGTGAAATATGTGCTTTTTTATCACCTTATATGAAAATCAATGTGCCGGATGAGAACAGTGGCTATAACCCTGCACTCAAAACAGTGATGTGCAAAAAAGACAGAGCGATAACCCCTTAAAATGCAGACAAACGATCACACATGCATACACTCCTGCCAACACGTACAGAGTCACTGTGTTGGTCATTGTGTATTGTCGGGTGAATTCCATCGCCTATTCATCAGAGTAACAGTGGGCAAATTCATGACTGTTCTAGACACAACAATCAACAACATTATACACACACACACACACACACACACACACACACACACACACACACACACACACACACACACACACACACACACACACACACACACACACACACACACGTGCTGTGTCTTTGAAGATAAGGAGGGAGTGGTTCATTAAACTATCAGGGAGGAATGACATCACTTGATTTCACCTTCTATCACTCATAAGGGGAAAAAGGGGTGACATGGGAAGAAACAATTAGAAATGTTGCTGGTGGTTGGCTGTGTGAAAGAGTGGGAGAATATGAAGCGAAAGTAAAGAAAAGAAGAGGATGACGGTCACCGTGAAAAATGTGGGATATGGTGAAATTAATTATGAGAAATGCAGTTTATTAAAGATCATGTGAAAGGAGAAGAGCTCAGCTGGTGTAGTGGTAGCTGATCCAGCAGTTAGGTCTATATCGCTGAAAGAGTAGTTCCTGTTTCCACATTTAACAGTGATTCAAATGTACAACCTCAGCTGTTAGGGTTGGCCAATATGAGTTCAAAACTCTAATATATCAGGAAATATTAAAACATTTGCCATGTACAGAACGTATATATTTATTATTTTATCATGATAGCCTACTTCTGATATGTTCCTCCTGTAAGAAAGAAATACTGAGCTATTTGCTGTTTTGTTTGCAACTGCTGGTTGTAAGCAATTTGTTGTGTAATTATTGTCCATTTGTAGAATAATTGTGTGAATACATTCAATTAGTCCAACCCTAGTAATATTATAACCCTGATGAATAATGATGTAGATACAAAAACTCCACAAGATGTGGTCTCCCAAACTCCTACCCCAGTTTGTGACAATATTCATTAGAATATGTGATAGATTGATGGATGGGGCGGCTGACCAACAGTGTGTGAATGTTAGTCTTCCCTGAGCAGGTGGCCCCATTTGTGGCCGCCTTTGCCTGAATGTAGGTGAATGCTGAATTGTTATGTACAAGTACTTAGACAGGTCACAAAGACTGGAATAGGCTATATCAATTCAGTGCATTTACCACAGATAGATGATCCCAAACCAGCTCAGCCTGTAAGCAGATGTGCTGAGACAGACAGACAACACACTAAGGGCTGTTTGTGTAGCACTGGGAGAGAAATTATTAGTATCCAACAGCCAAATGCTGATACACTCTGGCTGTTGTGCTGAAGGCTGAGTGTACTGAGTGCCAGACATATTGGCAGGGGGGTATGAGATTAGTATTTAGCAAATAATTTAGTTGTATTCTTGGAAGGAATTTCACAGCAAACTGCATGGGAAAGATACATGACAGCTGACAAATGAGATCTAACAAAATCAATAATATAACTGTAATGGTGTATTTGATGATGACACGCTGTGGAGGAACACAACCATATTGGTCACTCCAGCCATGATAAAAGGACCTATTGAAGTGTGTATATGTGTTTTACAGACATGATATGACATGTTCAAAGCAAGTCTGTGTGTGGAAACCCAGAGCATAAATGGCACTGGGGCAATATGTGGTAATTAAGAAAAACTGTGCAGTGGTTCACAGCAGAGTAATTGGCTCTCGTGCATCTATTTCAGGACACACACACAGACACTCCTAGAAAGCAATACACAAGCAACTTGCATATCCTCACATACACAACAGTGGGTACCAAGCTATAGGGGACTGTGGTCTTTTCTCAGCCCATACAGAATCAATAAGTCAGTATTGGACATGGCTCTGCCAGCATGTCTCCCTCAGTGTGTGTGTGTGTGTGTGTGTGTGTGTGTGTGTGTGTGTGTGTGTGTGTGTGTGTGTGTGTGTGTGTGTGTGTGTGTGTGTGTGTGTGTGTGCGTGCGTGTGTTTAGCTTTTGTCAGCTCAGCCTTTGAAGAAAATAAGTGACCCTGGACGGACTGAAGGTCTTCCCTTGCTTAACACATAAGCATCACAACGTGGTAGAATGGCAGCTTTTGTTAATGCTGCTGTAATAAACTAACTATAAATTAGCAAATGAATACCTGAGCTTCACTACATTGAAGTTAAATTGTAGACAGTGGTAATGACTATACGGTTACTAGCTTAAACGTTGCTGCCATAAGGCAACGTGCAGATGCTAATGTACATTTGCAATATTAATTTAAAGTTATTTCTACAACAGGGCGTTCTCTTATTAAAAGCCACAATATAACATTATCCTACTATCATGCTTTGGTGCTTTGTATAAAACGTCTCATGTTAGCACACCTAGCGTTTCCTAGCTAACGTTATTTGACGTCTGACGGCTCACGCTACACCGTTGGATAGATATTAATGTCACTACTAGGTACTGTCTAACATAGCTAGCAAACGCTGCTAATGGTGGCTATCAAATGTATTTTAATTGTTCTTAAGCCTGGAGCATTGGAAGCTTTATATATTGAAGGTAAAACACAACATAAGGTTACTACACTCTGTATCTGTCTCTCATTGTCTGAAACATAACGGACTCCAGAAATCACTCACCTTCCTCGGCGGCGGCTGCATTTTGGAGTATTATTGACATGAATGGTATTTCCCTTGCGAGATGTATTGTCATTCCAAGAGGAAATCCAAAAATCAGTGGAGGACTATTATTGTGTCTCCTCAAACCAAAAATCCTCCCCTCCAGACGACAGGGAGGAAACACGGGAGTTAAATGTGTACTCCGGCGGCCATGATTGATGATAAATGGCTAGTTTGTACAGAGCTACGAGGAGAGACTGGACCCACTTGTGTTGGCTGCTGCCACTACCACAGTACTAGTGTGTACTGTACTGTGTTGTGAAGGAGGGCAGCAGACAGAAGAAAAGCAGAGGGAAAGGGATGGGGGAATATAATAGGGGAACCCCTTCCGCTACTAAGCTCAATAGCGCCTCAAAGAGGGGAAACTCAGAACCTGTCGGCGATTAAAAACACTGAGCAGAAATACATCCTTATTGTTTGCCTCATATTGCCTGTAACCTCGATAAAACCTACTCATATATGTTTTAAACCAAATAAGGGGACAAGAAATATGATAACTACAATGAGGGACTATTTATCCAATGAGCATTAGCATTTTTGTCATCCTCCTCCAGCCTGCTCGAGGAGAAAAGGCTGACACTGACAGGAGCCTGCGTCCTGCAGACCTGCATAGCAACAAGAATCCGCAGTCGATCCAAGAAAAATCGATCGCGGAGTAGAATGAAAATCAGTATTTTCAACAACAACAAAAGAGAGAGACACCTTTTAAAAAAAACGAGCATAACAAATTTGTAATTTGACGCTTTAGGTTGTTAAAAATAATGTTTTTAAAAAAGCATGTAATCCTAGTAGGCCTACAGCTAAAATTATTTTTGTATTAGGCTATATTGCCTTTTATTGTATCAGTCCCTCATCAAAATGAACACCAATTAAATAATAAAGAATTTATTATTTGTGGTAGGCTTGTCCATTTTGTGCCATGATTTAGCACACTTGTGCAGACACCAGGGAGTAAACAGGGTAAAATAGGGTCATGGAGTTCATTGGAAGTGGGTGCTGACTGAGTGAACAATTAAAGGAATACATTAGGATTTCTCAAACACCCTCGTAATGAGTGGGCATCAGCAGATGCAGCTGGTTTGAGACAGTGTCTGCATACTTGTTTGCAGACCGCATTTGTTTGTTTTTGTGTTTGTGTGGTTGCTCACTGTTTAAAATTAACCAGAAATTTAAATTTGGTAGGTTATTGGGTGAGAAAAACACAATGCAATGCATTTGGGAAACAAAAAATCACATATGTCTTTCTTTCTGATATTTGATAATCTCCTCACCTCTCTGGTTGTTCAGTGTGCCCTGTGAAAAATTGAAAATTGCCCAAATGTCAAGGTTAAGATGTACCTTTGACTTGTTATGGTGGAAATGCAGTCAATTTATTGTATGGTTGGCATCAATGTCTTACAAAAACGCAAGGCAGTGGAACTAAAATATGTATATATATATATATATATATATATATATATATATATTACTAATCATTTTCGGCCTTTCGGCATTCGGCCAACTGTTTCCTATTTTCGGTATCGGTTTCGGCCAAGAATNTGTCTTACAAAAACGCAAGGCAGTGGAACTAAAATATGTATATATATATATATATATATATATATATATTACTACCTCAAAGCATTCATTTTGGAAACCTTTTTTAAAGAATTGTACTTTATGCCTCCTGTGTGCCATGTCCAAGGTTAAGGTTACAGGCCTTGTAATCATTAATACCCAGAGTTTCTAGAGCAGTAAGACATTAAGTACTCTTTCACCTCTCCTCTCAGTATAACACCTAAACTAACATGGGCGTATTCAAACATATGTGTGCACACACATTGGCAGTCACAGAAACCAAACATTTCTATTGACACCCACACACATAACTATCTGCCAGAGGCAACCAAAAACATGGCGTGCATTCATTGTTGGAATATACAGTATCTGTTAGGATCCTGGCAGGATGCTTTTGGTTTACGATTTATCTTATGATTTGGTGAGGAACATCTCTGTTGCTTTGGAAAAACAAGGTGAGACATTTTACCATAAAAACAGGCAAGTACTTTAATCGAAAAAAATGAAAGTGGCCCATATAATTAGTTTTGTTTCCCACATTATATATTTGTCTGTGAAATCATACTGTTTCTAAGATAAATAGGACCATATATGTTTAGTGGCATGGTAGGATATATTTGAACTGTCCTTAAATATTCTTTGGACAAAATAGTAGCTTACTGTTTGTCTTTTTTACCGCGGTTTGACCTACAGATAGTCACTGTAAATCCAGCCTTAACTTTTCACACTTCGCAGGTTGCAGCTTGTCAGACAGGAACACACCTCTACATGTTTTCACATACTGAATTATCTTAGGCAGACGTTCAGCCATAAACAACCAAGTCAAATACACACTGTACTTTACTGATGAGAATGAGGATACTTTACACACGGTGGTCAGCGTTGGACAGCCTTTGACAGGAAGTAGCATTGTACAGTGTGAGTCATTTTATATGTTTAAGGGTTTTGTTTCTGGGGAAGGGGCTTATTAGTATATATCTTGCAGTGCAATGATGACATTGTGTACAGCCAATGTAAAAAAACATGATTACTTCATTGATGAATATTACATTTTGCTCCATTTTGTGTGGCGTGCACACAGCATGTCAGAGGAATTTGGAGGAATACAAAAGGAGCCCCTCTGTCTCACGTCTGTTATCTGTTATATTTAACCTCCAGCTGTTTTAAAGAAGAAAAAAGAGAGTGAAGACAGCAATGGGTAAAATGCGAGCCAGAAGCTATGTTTTTGATAAAGAGGAAATATTATCAGAGGGAAGAAACAAGAGAGCGCTGTAGGTTAACTCATCAGTGAGTTTGAAAACAATTAAGTTGTGCAGCTTCTGTCTTCTTTGCTTGCAAGTTTTGAAAGCTTGACTCCATGTTTTTACGTGACTTTGAACGTGAGTATGTCAGATAAACACATTTTTAGAAGAAGAGAAAAAAATTGACTGAGGTAAACAATATAGCATGAACGCCTGTGAGTAGAACAGAAAGAACATGTTGATCAGGTTCTCTAAAGGTCTGGTTTGAGTTAAAAAGTGATTTTGCTGTCTCTCCCTCTCCCAGCTGTGAGGTTTTGGAAACTTTGACACGCATTATGCCAGAATAAGAGCTGTTTTCTGCCCGAGAACACCGCTTAAAGTTTTGTAAAAGGTTACAACACAAGCCTGTGTGAATCTTTGACTGAATCATCTGCAGATCAGACATTTGCAAATAGAGCCTTTCTCTAACAAAGTGAGAAAACATATCATGATATCTTATCAAGTAAACCCACTGGGCTAGATAGTGGAACAGGCTACATAAAGACCAACTTAATAAAGTCCAGGTCAAGTCCAAAAAAAAGCTCCAGTTGAGTCCCAGTCAAGACCAAGTTAAAACTGCATCCAGGACAAGTTGAGTCCTGTCAAAGATAAAGATTAGGACTTAGGTATTTCCAAATCTTTGGAACACTACAGTAAATCTCGTTACACACATCTACAATACTATCAAACATAACACACACACATTAACTTTCAGTCATTTATGTAGGATTTAATCTTTTTTTTAAGTATATTCCCTTCTCTCTATATCTCACAACTCTTACTTCTTTTATTCAACCATTCAGAAAGAAATTGGCAATTAAAGGGACGTTGGGACTAAAGTGATTCACATTATGTGAAAAGCCCAAAACATTTAAAATGGGATGACTCATGCTATAAAGTGGATGGTTTCAATTTGATTACGAAATCACACTGGACAGGTTGATTATGCTTAGGCATGGAATTAGTTAGTGCTGCTCAGGCATGCAAAGGTGAATGACTTGGCGCACCCTAAAGTGTGATTTAGGTTGATATCATTTTCTCACAGTCATTCAATGTGTATGAAAACATCTTCAAAGTTGTTCAAATGTAGCATAATAATAATCTATTCCTTTGTGCTTGTCTTTACCTCAGGATTTTCACAACCGAGATGGCCACCTTTGACAACACAATAACCAACCTCACCAACTTCAGTGACTTCTACTGTCCCTTTCAAGAGGATTTTAAATATATTCTTCTTCCTGTCAGCTATTCTCTGGTCTTTGTAATCGGCCTGGCTCTGAACACCACAGCGTTGTATGTGATTGTGTTCCGCACAAAGCGCTGGAAGCCCTCCACCATCTACATGTTCAACCTGACGATGTGCGACACACTCTACATCCTCACTCTGCCCTTCCTCATCTATTACTATGCAGATGAAAACGACTGGCCCTTCAGTGAACCGTTCTGCAAGATCATACGCTTCCTGTTTTATGCAAACTTATATGGTACAGTGATGGCATGACACACACATAAAATAACATCATTATAAAGTACAGTAGATGGCAGTATGATATACCAAAAGAGAGTACAATAGTGTTAATTTAATACAGTGGAGACATGTGATGTAAGTTATCCAATACGACATCTACAATACAACAAATATACTATGCTTACACTAATGGTATAGTATGATGTTTTATAATATCATCGGATACAAGAAGACATAAGGAAAAATAAGATATGACCTGCAGTGACAAAAAGTGTAGTCAATATCCTCATTTATAAACAGTGCAACGCAATGCAACTCAATTTGACAAAGTACACAACACAGTATGGCACAATAAGTAAAGGCATGTTTCACCTTACCAAATGCCACACTAGGCTACGCAATACTATGACTACAACTCAAGGTAGAATACAATATGCTAAACTAGGCCTGACTAAACTCGGCTGACAGTTTAGCATACAGATGATATGGTCACACAGGCCTACAAAATCACATAACAAGCAACACACAATGATACAATATAATATGTTGCCAAACAATACAGTGCGAAACAATACAATATAACATACTAATATAATTTACAAAAATAACAATACACTAATAATATGACAGGATATCAGGCAACAAGATGTCATACACTAAGAAGACATTTTTAAGAATACAACAGTTATTGTGACATACAATTCAAATCCAACAGATAAACAATTTGATATATAAATATGATACAAAATAATACAATTGTGTGTAAAAAAATCTGACCTAAACATAATGAAACACATCTTGATATGACACAACACAATGTGTAACTTTACTACTATACTCAAGTCGTTAACATTATATCATGAAGAGTGTACACAAAAAATGCTAACAGGCATCAACAATGACAACTTTATAGGTTCAGAAAGAATCCATGCAGCATGAAAAAGAGTGTATTAAATATGTATTCACCTTGCAGGTTCCATTCTGTTCCTGTGCTGTATCAGTCTGCATCGCTTCGTTGGCATCTGCTATCCGGTGCGCTCCCTCAACTGGGTCAGCGCTCGCCAGGCCAAGCTGGTGTCTGTGGCCGTGTGGGCCTGTGTCTTATTCTGCCAGGCACCTATTCTCTACTTCTCAAGAACTAGGTGATTTTGATTGGTCTTTCTTTCTTTTTTTTATTGATATATTTCTTAATTCCCTACCGACAGTTAAATCCCTCTTAGTTGTATTTAGTGTGGGACTATTGATTTTGTGTCACAGTAAGTAACTTATGGAACCTTATTGGGCACCAACCTGAGAGCTAACAAATTGACTTAATCTCTCCTTTCTTCTGTTACTCCTACGTCTTTTTTTTGGTTCAATGCTAAATAAGGCAGAACTACAGTTTAATAAATCTAATGAAATTGAAATATAATATTAATATATCTTCTATCAGGGATGTTGAGAATGAACGGATCTGCTACGACACCACCAGCCCAGAGCTTTTTGATGACTTCTTGGTATACAGCACAGCCGTGTCCGTGCTCATGTTTGCCCTGCCGTTCATGGTGGTGATGGTGTGCTATGGCCTCATGGTGCGGAAGCTTCTGGAGCCTGGCTGGGGGTCTGAAGGTGGCTCTCTGGGAGCACAACGCACCAAGCAGAAGTCAGTGAAAATGATCATCATCGTCTTGGCAGTGTTCATGCTCTGCTTCCTGCCTTTCCACCTCACCAGGAGTCTTTACTACTCATTTAGATACCTAAGGCAGGTCGATTCAACACAGGTGAGGACAAACACTTTTAGAATAAATGTGTTAAATGACTTTTGATGCTAAGTATATCTTGTTTTTATGTGTTCATCAGATCAGCTGTAGGTTGTTGGAAGCCTCCAGTGTGGCCTACAAAGTGACCAGACCTTTGGCCAGTGCCAACAGCTGTGTGGACCCCATCCTTTACTTTCTGGCTGGGCACGACGCCCGCAGTACCCTCAACAAGAAAAATCCGTCTTCATCTAAATCAAGAAGGGTGGGCCGAACCTTAACAACAGAACTCTGATCCAATGCGTGAAACAATTTTTGGAAGAAAGCTGAACATTGTCAGGACAACAGTGACAGGTCTTATTGCAGGTTTCTTTTGGTTGACGCAGCACCACATCCACTGACACAGATTTCATTCAGATTTGCGTAACAAATAGAAATGCATGCTCAGATTTGACCAAATCAAATATGGGCAATACAGTTTTAAAGAATGTAACTTAACATCTAAGTTGTGTTGTTCATTTAATGGACTTAAACAGATATGTTGTGTTTGTTATGTCTGAAAAAGTATAGTGAGAGGACGTAAATAAACTACACTGTGCTTTGCAGCTGTAAATGTTTTGGTAAAGATCCTACTGGAAAACTGATGTTTTTGGATAGACAGAAGTGGGTTTACTTCCGCTCACCTTTCTTTTCACATATCAGACAAAGAACGTACAAATAATGAGTCTGTGGCTTTTAAAATGAAGACGCAAAATGACTCACGCTTGTCAATGTGTTTGTAAATAGTTGGCGAAACAGGATGTCTCTTGAAGTGAGCATACAACTGCAAAAACAAGACTTTGATTATACTGTACGAGTTGCGATTTTTTTTTAGCGGATGTCAGTTTGTGTCCAAATATGAAGGAATTAAATAAATGGTGTTATTTAAACATGTATAGATTTTGACAAATGTGTGGTTATACATTTTTTATAATTTGTCTAATGTAATATACTGAATTTGTTTAATATCCATGTCATTTCATCTATTGAACACCATGCCACCACTAGAGGGTGACACTGTCTAACAAACAGGCAGGTCATTGCTCACGATGCTTTAGAACACATTTTGAGTTTTTATAGTCCATCATTTTCTTCCGCACATCTACACCTCACATATACCAACATCAGCCAACAGTAGATAACACATTTGTATACACCACCAGCAAGAACAACAAAGAAGATAGCATCTAAAATACACCTCTTCTTTATTTTAACAGTAAAAACATTATACAGAAAAAAAGTCATATTATAAATGCAATTCTACAAAGTTGATGAGATGAATGTGTTTTTTGAATCCTTCCTACCAGTACCACTTCAGCAATAATAGTCCTATAATAATAGTAATAAAAACAGAAAAAATGAAACGGCTGCAACCAATACATATTCAGTCCATCCAGACATGTTGACATATTCCTTGTAACAAATTAAGATAATATGTAAATGAGTGGCCTCTATGATTCTAGTAAACTCTTACAGCCATGAAGATGTAAACTGAAGCCAACTCGGCTGCATAACTTTGGTGTAACTCAACCACTAATCCTGCACAGCCACTGGTTGGTTCATTTAATTAAACTGGAATAAAATATGATCGTGTTTCTTACAGTTATGAAAATTGCATAACTTGAGTCTGGCTATGTGTACTGTATGAATGTGGTTGAGAACGTTTTAAAAGCTCATGACTAAAACAGTGAAACTTTGCACTCAAATTGTGAAAAGCCATATACAGTAGGTGCGGAAGCTATATGATGTTGATGAACCAGCAATTCAACTTATATGCATGATGGTGTGACAGATTTCATGTTTTTTTAATGATGGACTACAAGGGTCACTTATTGCTGCGATGCAGTCGTCTCTTACCTTATACATAGTGTATGCTAAAATTATAAAAAGCTGTATGTCTTTTTTTACCCACCCATATTTACATATGTACATTCATTTACAAGTTCTATTCTACAAAGTAATATCTATCCATCTCGTTTTTTCAGTAGGAGTTCAGCCTCTTACTGCCGTTTGGGATGCAGTGATGTAAAAAGAAAAACATTGCTGTCATAAAGTATTAGTGGCCCACTCTGAGAGGAACTTTTGGCCCCTGATCACCTACTTGTGTCTAGTCTAAGAGCTTTAAAGTTGCAAACTGTCAAACTTTCACTGATCTCAGTGAGTGCATCTTCTGTTAAGACTACATTCATCTTTTTCAAATCCTATATGAGCAGAAGAAGAGGAGCTATTTCACTAAACTTATAATAAAACAATATTTAAAACAACAATATGGTGTTTAGTTTCATAACATTTTGTTCGTATAATACTTTCTGTAGTGCTATTGAAGTCTTAAATCAAGTGTCTAGCATTCGTAGTTTGTATACTTGATAGCAGACTACTTGGCTTAATATTTCCTCTCTTTTAAATGTAGTATACACAGTTCAGCTTGTTTCAGACTCACTGATGTATTGGTCTTGTCTTTTGGTCAGTTAAGTCTTCCACATTTTTTTGTCCTCTTCACACAAGTCTGTCTACATGCAATGTGTTTTAGCCCTGTGTCCATTTCCTTCTGTGGAAACACAACTTTAGTGGCTGAGAATGTGTTTTTCTTACGATCCAAAATGATCTTCTTTGTTTTTGTCTCTCATCGTTCCTTCTAGTGTCGGGAATTGACACCCTGGTATTTAAAAAGCTCCACTCTCCACTTTCCCTTTTCATTGGGAATGTATAGTACACTTTTGTTGTCATGTAATAATAAATACAGTTTTTTTTCTCCTCATATTATGTAGAAACAACTTATTTGAGCTTGAGGTGGTTCTTGGGGTTTCTTTTTGTCAGATTTCTAGAAACACCCTCCCTGCCAGCTGTCAAGTTTATGAGGTCATTTTCAGCGAGGTAGTGTTACATCTCTCTGTATCTTCATCTGAAACAGAGAGAGAATAAAAGGTTAAGGAGGTGGCAGGATGAGGACATCAACGGCATAATAGGAGAAGGAGTGAAAGAGATTTTCAAGAGTAAGAAATTACATGCTTTTGAGCCTTTTCCTCCTTTGGTCTAATTCGAAGCATAAATTATTGTCTAATTTAAGGACATTTTTGTGTGACTGTAAGACTTAATAGATAGTTTTGACCACAGTCAGGTCTACATGATTACTGTAATCATTTGGATTCACAGAATGTTTGACCAGACAACCAGAAACAGAAGAAACTCATTTCCCAAATCATTTTAGAGACAATTATCATACTGTGTATAATTTCCTTTCCCAGTAAAACAGACCACATCATTTGGTGCTGGCCACAAAAATACATTAGCTCAGATGCTTATGATCTTGCGCTACTTCACAGCACTGCAAGTCATAACAATTAGCTGCATGCTGGGGAAAGAAATACTGAAGGAAAAGCAAAAACAGAGAGTGTGCACTGCAGGTTGTACCTCTGGATCCCAGATGATGAGGAGAAGGACTTTCCTCCAAAAAGGGAGTTTTGTTGCTCCTGGGATGATTTCTTGGTTTCCAACGTGAGAGGCTTCATCTCTGGGATCTGAGCGACTTGAAATCTGTTTGTAAAGTAAAAGTTCTAAGTTTAAATATGTTTCATACTAAATGCTTTAATCTATAACAATGCATCATATTTAATCAGATGTGTTAAGAGAAAAATCTTTATCTTCAAAGTAACTGAAAACTATAACTCTAAATAAATGTGTTATGAATTACATATTTGCTTCTGAAATGTGGTTTGGATGTGAGAAAAAGTGCTGAAAAGTGAAAAACACAAATGTAGAGTATTTGTATTGTCCTCATGCGTCATATCAGTTGTGTGTTGTTTTGCGTATGAAGTATTAGGACATGTCTCACCTCCCCACAGACAACACGGTCAGCTCTCCCTCCTTCCTCTCCTTCACTTCACTCCCTTCCACTTTGTTCTGTACAGTATTTGGCACAACAGCTTGTGTATGGTGGGTGTCGACAAACACCCCCCCAAGCAGGGGTCTCTTCTGCTGGTCGTATGATTTGTCCAGGGAGGGAACAATGAAGGTCTTGGCGGGCTTCAGGGGATCTTTAAGGGCACCCAGGGGTGGTATGAGGACAGCGGGCCACTTCCGCTGGGCGCAGCGGGTGCAGCGGTAGCCGTGTTTGGGGGCCAGGCCGGAGAGGCCAGAGATAGTGTGATGGTGGGACTGATGGGGGCACAGCTTGGGGAGGGAGCAGAACTGGGACAGGGGAGACAGCATTGGGAACCTAGGGGGTAGAGAAGGAGAGGATGAAGAGGGGGCAAATAAATGATTGGTTGGACAACATTTACAAACATTTAAGTCTGTTTTTTAGTCAAGACAAGAAGTTAATTTCTCTAAATATTTAAATACTGAAATGAAAAAATAATTATAAGATGGTTGTAAGAGCAAATCATACTGATAATAGAGTATAATTAAAACCCTTAAGTGGCATAAAAAAGGTATATTTAGTGTGGAGTGTGTGCTCTGTTTTAAAGTTGTTGTTGTTGTTGTTGTTGTTGATGCAGAGTAAAAGCTTAATGCCATGATGACAAGCGAGTATGAAAACCTAAAAAGAATATTGAAACATTCAACTACACCTTTTAACAGATATTCTTTTTAAGTTTTCATGCAGCGGCTCGTCTGGTCTTCAACCTTCCTAAATTCTCCCACGCCACGCCGCTCCTCCGCTCCCTTCACTGGCTTCCAGTAACTGCTAGAATCCACTTCAAGACACTGGTACTAGCGTACCATGCTGCGAATGGATCTGGCCCTTCCTACATCAACTATACAACCATACACCCCAGCACGTGCACTTCGCTCTGCATCGGCCAAACAGCTCACTGCACCCGCACTGCGAGGGGGACCCAAGTTCCCATCAGCAAAAACTCGTGGGTTTGCTATCCTGGCTCCAAAATGGTGGAATGAGCTCCCCATTGACATCAGGACAGCAGAAAGCTTACACATCTTCCGTCGCAGACTGAAAACTCATCTCTTTAGACTCCACTTCGAGCGATAGAATTATTAACAAAGCACTTATATACTAATAAAGGACTGGCTTATCTAAAGCCAGTTGAGTAGCACTTGAAATGTTTGGCTCTATGAAACCTGATGTACTTATATGATTCTGTTTTCTTCAAGATTGTATCTTCTTGGTCGAATGCACTTATTGTAAGTCGCTTTGGATAAAAGCGTCAGCTAAATGCAATGTAATGTGAATGTAAAAATAATAATACACAAAATTGAAATAGAAATACAAAATAAATTGTAGTTTGAAATTGTAACTCTTATATTTTTGGAATGTTCATTCAGGCCTCTTTAGTTGTTGTCTTTCTATAGTTTTTTGTGCAGAGAAAGGCATAACAAAAGGGACAAAATGCAGCCGCGTGTCCCTGTGTTGCACTAGTTAGTGGGTGACCTGTAGTGACCCTCCCATCACACACACACACACACACACACACACACACACACACACACACACACACACACACACACACACACACACACACACACACACACACACACACACACACACACACACACACACACACACACACACACACACGACCTGAGAGCTTTCCAGATTTCGGTGTGCATTTTGTGTGTGTGTGTGTGTTAGAATGTTCTCGAATCTAAAGCTCACATACAGCAGCAGCCCATCGAGCAACAGCACAAAGCCAGATGCCAAGTTCTTACTACTGCATATGTGGAACACACACACAAGTGTAATACACCCATTCACATCCATATTTGTTAGAAGGGCAATTTGGACTAGAACATGCCTCCTGTCCCCTAATGCCAGCGCTGATGAAGGAAAACACACTGGTGAAGACTGTGGCATATAGCAGCATGTTGCTGGATTTGTAAGATTAACTTCTGACTACTTGAACACTTTTAACAGCCGCAGATTATAACCAAAGTTCAAACCACCAGTACTTTTGGTCATGTAAATCGTGTGACTTTTAACTATGTGACAGCCAATGAGCTTAGTGACAGGTATGCTGGCGAGCCTAATGACTCAAGAGGCAGTGGTATCAACTATGTCAGACATTTACTCCAGACAAGAGGGCGTGATGCTATGCCAAGTACGAGCTGTAGCTGAGATTCAGATGCAGTTTACATGTGCATTGCTTTGACAATACATATTTTTTTCTTTGTTGAAAGAGTAAAACAAGAATAAAGAGCAGCAGGTATGATATTGATAAGATGTGTAAAATTTGAGTTAAACACCCAACCAGTCAAGGAACCAATGTTGAATTATTATCGTGTAAATCCAAGCATGCATTCAAATGTTAAATTAAAGAACTAAAACAGTTTGTGTTGTTTCATTTTAGCTGGTTCTACTGGAAAATGAGCCAATTCATATTTGTTTCCATTCAATTCATATTCAACCTATGTTTAAATTAAAGGTGGTTCCTAATCTATAGGTGTACATCATTATTCAGCTTTCTGCTTTCATCTCTAAAGAAAAACTGCCTGTATCTTTTGGAAAAGTTTCCCTTCCACTCTCTGTAAACATCTCTTGGCAGAATCGAGAGCTCTGCTTTGCACTCTCCCAAATTGTGCTTTCCTCTGTATTCATCTCAACCTTAAACCGCTTGAGCAAAGTATATGTTGAAGGTATATATATATATCCATGCAGGGCGTGTGTAAGCCAGTGTGGTCTCATACTTGATTGAGGAGCCTTTGCTTATGGACATCTGTTTGCTCTCGTACTCCAGCAGCAATTCCTCCAGTGCAGCAGCATTTTCTGAAAAGCAAACAAACACAAGATTGACAATCCATTCTGTAAATCAGTGCTTATTGATAATTGATAAGAATAGTAAACTTCTTTGAAAAAGGTTTGAGTCAGTGCTTGCAGTTCAACGTTAACCATTTTTGATGGAGATAAGGCGTGAACAGTCTGAGCTTGCAGCAGTGGAGATGCGTTTGTGACGCACTCTGATGACACCTTGTTACAATTTAAAGCCACAAGACACCTAATGACTTTTACCTCAATCTCTTACGTGACGTCACTGCTGCACGTACCTTTCTTCTCAGTAATGAGGCGAACCAGAACACTGATGGTGTCTTCATTCAGGTCGTCAGATATGTAGGGACAATTGTTACCTAGAGCAAACAAAAAACACAGACAGACAGAGAAAATCATATACCTTCTGATACTGTATGATGCACTTCGGGGTTGTAGATGTAGTATATTGAAAATGTTAAGTCCATGTAATGACACACGTACATGTAACACAAATACAAAGGCAGTCATATGCATAAAAACAACAAGATTAGTATTGAAAATATATTGTAGAGAACTATTACCAGTGTTTGGTGTACTGTGAAAAGGCTTGGTTATTTTCCAAAGTAGATGGTTATGGCTTTCTCTGTGTTGTCACATTATTACAACACATAGAACGTGAAATGCAGTGTGCAAGAGGAAGACCTTAAGTAAAGTTGCCAAACTTTATGGTAAAAAATGTGTTCTAAAGATGTGTTATATGTCGTAATATAAACTTGAAGCAAAGGGCCATATATTTTTAAATGTCCACCCACATATTTAACTGACTTAACAGTGTACAATGTGTTCCTTCCTTCACAGTTCACACAGTGCATGTCACTGCTGGGATACAGTGCCCCAGTGCACCATGGGACTGATAAGGATGGATGTGGATGACTGAACAGCAAAGAATAGATATGCCTCCATAGCAACACCCCGGACCATCCCATAATAGCAAAGCACAGAGAGGCAGCTGAGAGGAGAGTGATGAGGTCTAGAATAGCTTACTCAGCGATCACACTCTATTCAGCACTGTTGAAGCACACAGAGCTGTGTGTGTGTGTGTGTGTGTGTGTGTGTGTGTGTGTGTGTGTGTGTGTGTGTGTGTGTGTGTGTGTGTGTGTGTGTGTGTGTGTGTGTGTGTGTGTGTGTGTGTCTGCTGTTTTGTAGACCCCCAATGCCAGGTGACCCCTGTATCAGTGTGTTACAAAGCAAAATGTGACTGTATGCATTTGTGTCAATGTGCATGTCTTTCTTGCATAAGCAGTGTCAGGCTGTTGTTAGGCCATAACAAAAGCTGGGTCCCTCTCCATAGTGGCAGTTGCTATGCGAGGATAACGGCATCCATTTCACAGTGTGGCACTCATTCTCTACTATTTATTCTTACAGCAGAGTCACAGCCATATGTTTAGAGTTTCAGTGTCAGCCACAATAAGTCACCAGCCAATCATCCTGTGTCCTGATGAATTTCTGTTTTACATTTGTGCTTCAAGTAAAACAAAATGTTTCCGCTTGATTGCATTAGTCTTTTGGAGCTTATGGCTGGAACTGAAAACTGCAGCAACTAAACTGTGCCTTTCACTCTGCCCTTGTGAGCTTGAACTCAAAGTTGCAGAGTTGACTCTAGCTCACATTTCTGTTGGTCTTATCCACCCCACATTTGTCCTCTCCTTATCCTGTCACTGCACCGTGCACCAATAAGTCAAACTTTTCTCTGCCACAGACTTTGATTCAAGCCCTAACATGCTAAGCTTGGCTTCTTTAATTCATCCCCATGGGTGTTCACTCTGAGCAGAGATGATGAGAAAATTGCTAGAGTAAGAACCAATGCAGTATCCTAAACCTCCGACTGCCCTCTGACCGTTCTATTAACCTGTTGTTATCTGCATTATATTCTGTATTGTCCTTTATTGAAATATTTCAATTACAATCACTAACCAATCAGTCAAACTCAAATTAAAACATACAGGAGTTGGATATATATATAAAGATTGGAAGTTCCTGACAAACTCTGTTGATTGACAAAGAAGATGAACAATTTGGTTAGAAGAAGATGAAGGAAGACGAACAACGCAGATGAAATAATGAGAGGAGAAAGGATTCGAGAAAGAAAGAAGGGTAATAAGCCATGAGGACCTGATTGAATAATTAATCTGGCTGGGAAAGGAGAGATGGATGGATATGGTGTCATGTTTATACGAGAAGGGGGTGGAGGCTCGGGAGGCGGTGTAAGAGAGCCAAGAGATGGGATGAATGGAGAGTATGAGGGCAGTTAAGGAGTTCTGCAGGGGGACGGGGTTCAGGGAGTTTCTCTTTAGGTGCAGGGATGTATCAAGTTTCACAATACAGTGCTTGGAGAGTCAGAGACCAAGGCAACGCTGAAAACAAAAGGGAGAGATCTTTCACCTAAGGACTGTTGCTATGACTTCTGGAATTACATCTTCAGAGTGGTATCTGCTCTTAAGACTTGTTGAAGGAATAGAAGAGCTGTCATCTTGGTGGTTGAGGTTGAAGATAAGAGACATACGAACTGTTCTTCTTGTAATCAACAACAAACGAGCTAGCAAACTGATTCAATCAACATATTATTTCAAGAAATCTAAAAGTGTGAGTATGTGTAACAAAGAAGTGGTTTGAGCCAACCAAGAGGTGTACGTCGATAAAGCAAAACCGAAATAAAATGTTAAATATAATTCACTAGTGAAAATGTTGGCGCTGAATTTAACTTTTTAATGATAGTAATGATGGGATATCCAAAACAGCAGGTGTTGGGTGCAAACGTAAACAGTTCCTTGGCGTGAGACGTGCTGACAGAAAGTGCAATCTGTCGAGGCTGCAGCCTGACTCTGCGGCTAATTGGCTGTCACACAGCTTTCCTCTGAGCCTCGTACCGCCAGGTGAGTGAGGGAAGAGCCAGCTTAGCCTTTCTACCAGTTTAAGCTTATACCTCTCATGAAATGACATTAACTGCATAGTAAAAAAAGAGGCTGGAAAAGAATGACAAAAGAATGTGAACAAATTATATAATACTTTAAATCTTTATGTTTTCAGTTATGAATCTTGAGGTCTTCAAGGAGCAAGTTATAGGCTGTTTAAAGTAATACTTACAAAAATAATTGTCTTTCTCGCTAAGAGTAACATGAGAAGTTCGATACCAATTCTATATTTGTCCGTTGAATATGAAGTTACAGACAGTAAGCTTAGTCTAGCATAAACACTGTAAGCAAGGAGAAACAACTAGTGTCAAAATCCACATACCAGCATCTCTTAAGCTTATTTATGGAACCATTATATCTTGTTTGTTTATTTCATATAAAAGCAAATGTTTTAAAATGTCAATTTTAGTTAAAAAGATAAGTAGGCAAACATTGTGTAATGGAGAGAAAAAAGGCTAACTGTTTCCTCCTGTGTCCTATCTTTGTTTTATTTATTGATACTAATTTCTCTTTCGGTTAATACCAGCCTCATTCCTCTTTCTTTCTTTATTCTTCAGCACTACCCCCCTCTCTTTATACCTCTTTCCATGTTTACCCAAGTCAGTTTCTCTCTTACGTCAGCAGGATGAGTGAGTTGATGGGAAAGCTTTTTTTCCCACCTTTTCAGATAGGAAAATTACAAAATAACAGCATGCGCTAAGATTCCTTGCATTTAATGACCTCTGCAAGGTCAAAGTTAAAAGAGATTAAAAAAAAGCCTCCCATGTTGGCTTGCGTGCAGTCCCATGACAGAGATACATGGGCTGTGGCTGCACACAAAGACACTGCCCCTTAGGGCTTGGCTTGTCTTTGCCCCGACTCACTTTACCAAATCTTGTGCATGTGTGTGTTAATTAGGATTTTCACGGGCAAACGTGACAACAACCTTAACATAAATGTTTGTTTCAGTAGTACCTAGCACTGCTATTTTCGATCTCTTGCTCACTTTTTAAACTTGTTTTCTCTTTGGAATTAATATGATATAATATCTCTTACCTTCTTTCTGTGGTGTGGCAGTTTCTTCATCCCCTGCCTCCTTGTCAGCACTGCAGCGGTATCCCTTCTTCTTCAGGATGTTGCAGATGAGGATACCCAACAGGCCCATCACACAGAAGACAGGCACAATAGCAAAGACTGCATACTCTGCTGACTTCTCCTCAGCGCTGCGCACCACTGTGCCGTTGACCGGCCCTCCTGCACCACTGGAGGGACCTTTACCAACTGTCCGCACCTTTCTGACATGCAAAGATGCTGAGAGAAAAGGGAAGAAGAAGAAACAGAGAAAAAAGAGAGCAGGATGATAAAGCATGGTCTTAATCTCCAAAGGAATGAGTAATAATTGTCAACTGAATGATGGACAAAAAGAACGATTTCAGACACACACTCCAGGATCTCACTTACTTTTCACACACAGACTTTGGGTGGAAACTCCTTCTTTGGCAATGGAGCTAAACCTGCAAAAAGAAAGAAAAAATAAATAAGGGAAAATAGCATTATTAGAGATTATGTCTTTTTTTTCTCAACAAAGCGAATGACATGACCTAATTTAGAACAAGTTACAAGCAGACAGGTAAGCCTTACCCAGGCAGACAATCCCCACAGACAGCATCTGAAGTTGCAGAGCCAGGGGTTGTAGCCTTACGGCCGAGGACCTCGCAGGCTGTGTGGAGTACGCAAGGTTCAGAGTCCAATGCATCTGAAAAGCTTCCAGTCGGGCACAACAGACATTGCACTTCCTCTGCTGGACTTTGGATCTGCCCACAAGCCTGGCAAGAAAGAAAACACTTCTAAACTAAAGCAGAAGAGGCCACTAATCACAAAACAAGAGCATCCCTTTGGTGATGGAGAAGATGAGTGTCTCTGTTAACTGGAATAAAAACAATGATATCCAACTTTTCACTTTCACATACATAGATTAAAATCATTTGCAAGAAAGAAAATAATTCAGCTTGTTGAAACAAGTGTATTTAAACAGGTAGGGAGGGGAGAGAATAAAGGAACATGGGGAGAACGTTTGTAGACTCTGATGGTACAACAAAATACTTATAAGGAACCAAAAGCACTTGATAGCAACATATATTTTAAAAGCTATTTCAGCTCGCTGTCTCACCTTGGAAGGCTCCTGGCCGGCAGGGCATTGCAGACACACACACCCTTCCCCCCACCGACACTGCACTGCTGCAGTCCCAATACAGCCAAACACCTGGAAGACACACACACAAAAGCCCACAGATCAGTGGAGGTTTACATTAATGTGATGTTGATACACTTACAAAATTGTGATGTTCTTGTACAATGCACACAAGTGTGTCATTTTTGCATATGGTACAAACAGTCAGATGCACATGTTTACCGTGAGAAGGACAAGAGCTGAGCAGCAAAGGTGGTTCCTCATCATCTTCAAAGTATTCTTCTATGTTCATATGATCTAAAGGGTTGAGGACAAAGAAAAAAGTCAGAAAAAGGGTTCATCACGTTTTCAAATATGGTCAGGTTCATGTAGATATGGGTTAAAAGAGCATACTATAAATCACCTTAGTCAACACACTGTGCCCTTTTAGCAAACACAATTTAGTGACCCTTTAAGTGCTTAGAAATATTTTATAGTCATTTGGATGACCTATACAAAACTTATGTCACACGCACGCACGCGCACACACAAACACTCACAAGCACACTCAACCACACACGGTCACATGGCGAAAAACACCTGAGTCATATTTTGCAACTCATCAAGAGCGAAGTTACTTGAGGGACAGGGAGGTAAGGAGTAGTTGTAAATGCTGTAAATAACATTTACTATGAATCAGGTTCTTTTTATGGCCGACAGTGAACGAAACAGGGCTTTTCCTGTGGCTATTTTTGGGCAGCTTGTACTCGCACCCACATCTGAAGCAATTATACAACACATTCATTTGCCAACACATGGTGAATTTGTCAACGTGTGAGGAAAGCTGCCACTGGGATAGGTATTTCCAGTGATTTAGGTGAGTTATAGATTAATACCATTAACCTTAGACATGAAGATTACACTGCTTTGTTTTGTTGTGGTTTTTAGAGGCAGATGCTACACCCGGGTGTCCGAAGCTAACAATGCTATTTACACCCGGGTGCCCGAAGCTAACAATGCTATTTACACCCGGGTGTCCGAAGCTAACAATGCTATTTACACCCGGGTGCCCCTAGCTAACAATGTTTTTTGCACCCGGGCTACACATTAGATACTGTGGATGTATAGGTATTTATGGAAATGTGTCTTTGATAACTTCATTCCCTTGTGCTGCTGCGTCAAATTGTAATTCCCAGGGTGCAAATAGACACTCCGTTTTTTTTTTTTAGAATATTGCAAATAAAGGAGAGGAAAAGGTCAACAAGGATGATCTTTATATGCACTGATGGATCTCGTATTTAGATCTGGGTGCCACAAGCTAATATTGTGTAACAAAAAACAATGTTGTCATCTCTATAGTAGGCTAAGCTCTTTTTTTTCTGAAAATATTTGACGACATATTATTTAGCATAACTCCCTAAAGCTCACACATTATACATATCCATATGCACACAGAATAATGTCGTCATAAAGCCATTTAAATACATGTAGCCTATTAAATGAGATGTTGTTTAAACAAATGTATTTTATTTTAATTAAAAGGCAGCAGAGCAGGGAAAACAGCACGGTGGCCAACCAATTGCTGTGACAGCAGTGAGAAATCTAAACCTGAAATCCAGATTTCCTTGACTTCTTTATTAAACCCAAGAAAGAAAATGCATTAAAATGTTGTCAAACTGCTGCCACTTTAAACATAATTCACTGTTATAACTTTCACTGTAAAACATCCTTGTTGAGATAAATCTTAAGCAAACAATTTGCTATAAACCACACACACACACACACACACACACACACACACACACACACACACACACACACACACACACACACACACACACACACACACACACACACACACACACAGAGAAATGTAGAGATTGTTTGGACACATACAGGCTTGTAAAACAGCCACTGATCAAAGCAAAATCATATACCCAGTTTAGATTATGTCAACCAAAACATAATAGACTAATACACTAAATAAAACTGATTTACAGCATTATGATGACAAAAAGAAGTACAGAAAAAAGATGAGAAAGTGG